GCCCTAGACGGGAACAAACTGACATCTAGATAGCCAGTAATTAAAAATGGCTTTTCTCCTCCTGCACTAACCATGTGGATTTTTTAAGTGTAATTAAGAAGTGTTTACCTTTCCTTAGTCCCAAAGTTTGTGAAATATATTTCAGTGTTAAGTCTAATCCATCGTGGAAGACAGTGCTGTGGACTCTGCTTGTTCGTACAGTGACGCCAACAGCTACTGCATTCCCAGTGTATGTTAAATGCCAATCATTCTATACTCTCAGCACAGGCTATTTCTATTTGGTTGGAAATGTCACCCCAGCACCACACATCCATATATCCCAAGAGTCTGGAATGTTCAGGTGGAAGTTCCATCCCAAGTCTTCTCCCCTGGGAGTTGCCTCAGTTCAGACTCCACCCCTGAGAAAGCCTGCCAAACAATGACCCCTCACCACTCCCACTGGGTATTTAAGCTGCACCCTGGAGAATAATCACATGGTTTTCCAGTCTTCTTCCCTGGCTCCTCTCAGGGGAGGGGGGACTGGAAAGTCACCCGGGAGCGTTGCTATCCATTAAACCTGGGCTTTTTCTAAATTGGTTTGATTTGATCTAATTCGGATTATTGCATCGGCGGAGAGGTTTATCAGGATGCAGAAACTTTTCAGTTTCCCGCACATTTTCTTTTGGCTCTGCACATTGGACCTGGGTACTCTACCCATGGTACATATTTCCAGTTTTTGTACATTTTCTTTCTGGCTCTTCACATTGAACCTAGGAACTCTACACATGGTACGTATTTCCAGTTTTTGTGCTTGATCTCTTGTCTCTCAAAGTTTGCTGTGTTCAGGAATGGTCTGGACATTTGGAGGACAGATTTCAGAAACTCACACTCACAATGAGAACTCTGATCATGTCGTTTGTTAATAAAGCCAGGAAGCTACTAGCCAAACTCTTTCCGTGGCTCCTGGACTAGAGAACACTTCAGGAAAATTGATGTCTAGTTTATAGCAAACTAACAAGGGAGTCCAGCGTCTGAATGGCTGGAACATGTATCAATATCTAATCAAGCGTTATGGCACTGTTGACACAATGCCCTTTCTTTTCTGTACATAGCCACCGTTGCCCTTCCACAACAAGTCAACAAGCAGGAAACAAGTTTTTATCAAGAACATTCATCATTTTAAAACAAAGATGACAAATGGGAATGTTTTACAGACTAAAGGCGAAAAAAAATCAGAGACTATCTAAATTAACCAAAGGACGCCTTGTGGTCTTTGGAGAAGAATCTGCAGGAAGGGTGCACATGGGTTGCTCTAGAGCCTTGAAAAGGCATCAAGTTAAAGCCAGGGCTTCGTCTTTTTTATCTTAATTTCCTTAAGCAGATTCTTAAGTATTCTTTCCCTAGTCCTTTGCACATCTGCCCCATGACTCAATAATCTAAGTTCCTTCCTGAGTCTGTGGAATCTCTTGTCCAGGATTCAGAGGAAGGTGGGGACATTGAGCATCCGGGCTGGGACCCGGCATGTCCTCTCCAACTTATGTTTCTAACATTATTGTGACTAAAGTTGTTTTCCACCATATTCCATACTTTACAATATATAACCAATGGGTATTTTCCCCGTGATTTGAGCCTTCAACATCAGTGGATGAGAGGAGAAGAACTGGAGATTTCTGGAGAGTACATAGCAACTGTGAGCCTGGGAGGTTGGAGAAGGCTTTCTATTCCTCTATGGTCAAATTACAATATATACAGGTGTTTTCTGTATTGCCACGGCCTGCCTTATGAAGAAATGTTCTCTAATATGAAACCATAATCATAAACACATGTGTATGCATATAAATGTGCATATCAAGTAGACTGCATGCATATATGCTTACTTTTATAAATGTTTTCACAGACTGTTTACATTTTACTTACGTATTTATGTGTTTATTTATCTTTGTAACAGGATCTTGTTATGTAGCAGGCTGACATGAATTTGTCATCCTCCTGTCTCAGCCTCCTGAGTGCTGGTGTGCAGGCTCTAGATCCTTACTGATGCCTTCACACATGTCTGCACAGTGGTGACAGGTGTCTGACAAAGTGGCTTTCCCCACTACCTTTCACATTCACCTGTCTTCTTACACCTGCTGTCCAGGTAATCACGTTCATCTGTTCATTTGACCCTTGCTTTCCAGTCTCAGATCGTCACAATCTTCCCACCTCTGTTCCTGACCCTCCCCCTGCAGCTCCACCCCCCACCCGTGCTACTACTGTCTCCCTTCCTAATAGTTTGCCTTCTGTTTCTTGCGTGAAACACAACCTTAGATATTGCTAAAACGCACTGGAGCCAGGCACTTGCTACACTAATCCTGAACAAAGGGGAGACCCAATACTTAGATAGGGGTCGAGGAGGGTCAAGGAAACACAAAAATTCTCGAAATTGTGAAGTTGCCTTCTTTTGAATGGAAGAATTTCAGTATCACTCCTTTTCCTGATTAATTCTGTCTTGCCTATTTTTTTTTTTTGCTAAAACATTATTATTTATTCTTTCTTGGCCCAGCCTCTTAGTATCCCATCAGTGTAGCTTCTGCTGAAGCTGGATGGCATCCTAGTTTCATTATGGAACGTTGGTGGGGTTGATCCTGAAACTCCACAACATGACATTGTTCTGTGGGCAGACACATTTTAGTCTCAGTTCAATAGCTGATTGCAGGAATGCTTGGCTGCCTGTGGGTAGGCATACAAGTACACAGATACATGCAGTCTATGGAAATAAAGTCTGTGTGATTGTATGCTTAGAAAAGAGGTACTTATGGGTATCCTCAAAGGCTAATCTTGGTTGTCAACTTGACTATATGTGGAATTAACTAAAACTCAAGCAGCTGGGCACACCTGAGAGGGATTCTTCTTGGTTGGATCACTTTAGGACAGAAGGCCCACCCTGAATCTGCACACAACTTCTGATAGTGGGCTGAATGAGGACACAGAAGGAGGAGGGTTCTGCACTTTGTGTGCTTTCCTCCCTCTCTCTGGACAGTTCTCTGTTCTGTCCTTGATCTATTTCTTCGCTGGTGTTAGAACCCACTTCTTCAGGATTCCAGTGCAGACCAGAAATTTAACTGGTGAGGACCTCCCTGGGACTCCGTCTTCACAGTGCGGCTGTTGAGACATCCAGTTTTCACCAGAACCTTTCAGTCAGGAGACAGTCATTGTTGGACTGCTTGGGTCACAGCATGAAAGAAACCAAATATATATTTATGGAACTTTTTAGATTCCTTTAGAGGGTTATCAGGTACCTTTACAGAACCCTGACTAATGCAGTGTCCCACAACAAAAGTTTATTTGTTCAATGAGTTGGCAGTGGCATATACCACCGAAAAAACCCATCCCTGTGTGATGGCTTTAGAAAGACGTGACACCACAGTGGTCCTTTACCTTGGTGTCTCTGGGTTAGCCGATGTTCCTGAACTCTTTCCAACTCCTCAGCAAAGTTTGCCATTTTATGTCCTCTTTGTGCCCTACAGAGCCTGAACATCAGCACGTCTGTACAGCAGTTTGAGCTCTCTGTCCTGCTGTTGCAAGAGTGAAAAGGGGGGCCAGGCTGGTGTCAGGAGTGTTCAGTGGGGGCTGACTTATCCTGCCGAGCACCTTCTATGTCCACACCCTGCACGTGGCAAATATTTCCCTACACACACTACCCCCATCCTTGCCCTCCTCACCTCCCCCAGGAGAGGATGGAACAGTGGATCTCCACCGCTCCTAGTTTGTAAAAGACTAGTCTGCTGTCTTATCACTGCTTTCCGCCATCGTGCCGTTTTGTGTGTGTGTGTGTGTGTGTGTGTGTGTAGACGGCACTCACGTCTGTGCTTTATGTATTTGTGTATTCATGTGTGTTGATGGGTATCTGTGTGTGACTGTATAAGAATGTGTACATCAGTGTCTGGCTGAATATAAGTGTATATGTGTTCTTGTGTATCAGAGTGTGTGTGTGTGTGTGTGTGTGTGTGTGTGTGTGTGTGTGTGTGTACATTTTCCTAGGGTTGACATGGTCCAAACACAAGTGACAGGAAAAGAGGGGTAAGAATGGGCAGCCATATGCAGGCTGCTCTGTTCTCTAACTCTGTCTCTGAAGCTCAGGCAGCCTGGGTCCAGGTGCAGCCCTCTCCCCAGAAGCCTGTTCTCTCCCAGGACCCAGCAGGGTCGGGCGGTGGGCGGAGCGTTGCGGGGCGGTGGGCGGAGCGATGTGGGGCGGCGGGCGGGGCATGCGACTGTGCTCCGAGCATGCTCCGCCGGGTAGTAGCAGGCGGGGCGGCTCGTGCTGGTCCCCGGCCGGCCGAAGCGGCAGCGGCTGCGGCGCGGGACAGTATGCGGGGACCGCTCGGTAAGTCCTGGCAGCTGTGCGTTCGGCTCACTCCCCTGGCTTCCCACGGGCCCCACCTCAGCCTCCCGCGCGAGCCCCCAACTTCTCTAGCCCGGACATTGTTGGGTCCCTGCCTCGGCGTGAAGGGACGCCCTCGCCGCGGGTGGCAGCCCGGCCCCAAGTCCCGCGGACTGAGGTCCCTGTTCAGGTGCCCGACGCGGGGAGGAGGCCGGGCTGGCGTTGGCTCTCGTGGGCGCGGGTCTCTCGTGGGCCCCTTCCTCGTCCCGTGCCGCGACCTGGCGGACCCTCCATCCCAGGACTGACAGCCCCGGTTCCCACGACGCCCTGGCCCGCGGGACCGGCAGTGGGACGTCGGGAGTGGCCGCGCCCGCTCGGGTTCCCACCCGGCCCCGCCACCCGCCGGGGAGTGGCTGGCAATCCGCTAAGCGGCTCAACGGGACGGAGCCGCCCGCGTCCCCACGCCCAGACCAGCCAGCCACAGTCTCCTCGCCCCCCCCCCCCGTACCATCCCGCTCCCCCCGCAGCCGGTGACCCGGGACTCTGGCCTCACGCATCCCCCCCACCCCACTCCCGCCTCCAGTCTCTCGCCGAAGAGGCTGAGATCCTCGGGTTCTAGGGAGGAAAATATCTAGCGGGGGAACTTCAGCCAGCTCAGCCTGGCCGTGCCCCAGCCGGGTCTCATCTGTGCTCCGCTGTGGTCTCTCTGCCCAAGTCTGCCTGACTGGACCACACAACTTCCAGGCTTTTCCGTCCCGGACAGTTAATCTGTTTCTCCTACAGATTCGTGTTTTCTTTCTTTGGAATTTTGTCTTTTCAGACTCGGAAAGGAAAGATATCTAGGGATTGGGAGTGAGCTTTAGAAGATGGGAGGAGCCCTGAGAGGGAGGTGAGTGGTGGGATTCTGGTATCCTGAAACGCTTTGCATAAAGGATAGAAAAGATAGAGTAGAGTATATTCAGCCCAAGTAACTAAAACTCAGGGAACCAGTCTTTTGTCATGTGAACCGAGACCATCTAATATAACAGGAACACCTACAGAAAGGACTTTGGGAGTCCTGTGGAGGTTTCTTTTCATGGGAGTTGTGTTGTACTTTTTCTATAAAATTGGGAGTTTGAAATTTTTCTTTGGTTTTTCCACAATGCTCTGTATCTTTGGATGTACCTTGATCTTCCTCATCGCTTGGGCAAACTTCCTGAAGGTCTCTCCCGGCTACGCTGGGCAGACCACAGAGGGGCAAACTTTCACTCCTACTGCAGTGGGCAAGCAAATATTTGTTGAACAGAGGCCTTTAATCTGTGGGACCTTCCTGCTGCAAACCCTCTGCTGCCAAGACTGGGAGGTGAGGGTCCAGAGGGCGCAAGGGACTTAGGGAGATAGGCTAGTGGAGGAACTCAGTTGTAGGGAGAGGAAAGTTTGTTTTTCCAACCTCTTGGAGCATTGGCCGTGCCTGAGCAGCCCCGAGCTCTGGAGGACTTGACAGGCTCATCCGAGTTATCTGGTAACTCATCTGAGAGGTCATGGCTCCCAGAGGCCTGCTGGATATTGTTCCCTCACTAGGAAAGGTTAACTAGCAAAGATATGCAAAGAAAATAGATAATGGGTCAATTTTTCAGTTTTAAAAAAAAAGCAAATCTGAAAAGATACTAGAAATCTACTTTGTGGCATGCAATTTAAAAGTAAACCCCGTCTTTACTATTAGCACCAAAGCCCAGGAGTTAGTGGCTCCTGCAGGTCCCCTGTCCTTTGGAAGAACAGCAAACAGGGAGCATGGTCGGAGGCCAGTTTCTGCGTTAATGAGCTTGGCGAGACTTGATGGTAATTAATCTGGAGAGTTCAGAACATAGTGTTGGGCTGAAACGATTGTTCTGTTGTGGGCTTTACTTGATAAGCCAAGACTTTATCTCTGAAGCTCCCCCTCCCCCAGACTGTGGCCAAACCCTTGCTGCAGTTTCTCTTGGTTGTAACAGATGTTAGTTTTCACCTCTTGGGTGGGAAGGGTTATCTTCCTAGTGGAGCCTTGGCTTCCAGAGCCTGGCTAGCGTGATGAATGCTGGGAGATACTAGTTTCTTAAAGCCGGGGAAAGGAAGACACACCTTCTGACTCTACTACATACTTTAAACACAGCCCCCACCCCCTTTTTTTATTAATTTGTGTTTGGAGGATCTTATTTAAAATGTATTTATTACTTTTACCTTCTATAACTATATTTCCTGACAATTTTTAGAGGATGTGATTTAGATACACAAAGATTTATTGTCTGACCTATTCTTAGGAGTCTTTGGCTGTGGTTGGCTCTGCCTTTATAGCATAACCGATGAAGATTGGCTCTTCTGCACGGTCACACTGCTATAAGCAGGCCCTAAGGTACTCGTTGAAGAAGTCAAGAAAAAAGAATGGAAGCGAGCATATTCTGGGGGAGGCGGGGCATCAGTGGCTCCATTGTCACCACGAGGTCACCAGGAACCTTTTCTTTCTTTTACCAAATCACTTAATTTTGTAATGTTTACTTTTAAAATAACTTCATGACTTTTATAATTAGTAAGTAAAAATTACATGAAATAATTCGAGCCTTCACATTTTTATAAAATGTTGACTTTTTATTCTAAAGGTATTTTAAATTTTAAAAAAGTAATAATAATAATAATAATAATAAGTATAATAGAAGCTTGTCCTGGGACAGTTGGCTTATGATAATGGGATAAAATTAGAAAGTTTCAAACTATTGCAGATTTTGCATTCCCTCCTCAAACAGAATATTAAAAAGAAAAATCTTACTTGGTTTTTATCTTTTCTTAATAACTTGTAATCTTACAGAAATGTCAATGAGGTACTTAGAGTCTCATAAACATGCAGTGATGTGACACAGAATTTGGAGGTGTGTGTGTGTCCCCGACCCTAGTGGAGATAAAGGAAATGGGATTGAAGAGGCAATGCTTGTTTAAACACTGAAGCACGTGGCATCTGACACTGTGTTCCCCCACCACTCTCTTAACCACCATTAACAGTGTGCCAAGACCGTTTGTTATTTTAGCCTGGTTTCCCATCTGTTTTGTTGCCCTTGTTACCTGAAGAAAAGTCAGGTCAGTGATGCTTGTCTTACCAAAACGATCACTTCACAGATTGCATGTGCTCTTCATGGCTTCCACAGGGGAACAACATGGGAACAAGTTTGTGAGAACTTCTTGACTTGGGACTTAGACTGGAGCTGTGCAGTTATTTATTTAATAATTCAGATTAGAGAGGGAAACGGCAGCCCATTGTTTGTGATAAAACACACAGTTCTTCCACTGGGGAGATAGCCACGGAGAAACCTCTACACATGCACACACCATTAACAACATATTCCATTCTGGCTTGTTTTCTGGCTCGGCTGTTTACCCCTTGTTTAAAGAAAGCACTTTGTTATATATTAATCATAACATTAGACCTAGATGTTGTCAGTGGAGCAGATACTTGTACTGAGCTGCCAGTAGTTTATGGGACCAGTGACACCTGAAGTGTCAGAATGTCAGTGGATACAGCTGTGGAGTTTGGGGGATCGTTAGAGAGGAGCATCGTCTAAGGAACCATTAGAATGCAAGTTGTGACCGTGTACTGGATTCCATCATCAGAGCATGTGACTGAGGCTTCAGGAGCAGGCCAGGAGCCTTTGGCAGGTGGCACCAGAGCGCCCTGTCATTTGCCAGTCCTTTATTCTTCCTACAACATTCCTTTGATGGCCATCGATTCTTCCTAACAGGAACTGTGTTTTCAAAGGTGACTACTTGCACAGTCCTACCTAAGACAGCCTTTGATTGAAAAAGGTTTTAAACTGGAATACAAACCAAAAATTACTAGAAAGAGACAAACAACCATTCCTTACCAGATTATTAAAGATTTGAAAAACAATCGACATTGTCCGGGGTAAGCTGCCTTAGGAATTCCATTATTACTTGTTGACAATATATTAAACTAATAGCTTATACTGATAAAATTTAAGTTACAATGTAGTGTACTACTAAGTTATGAGTGTGATAACTGCTCATGAGTGCTGATTAATGATAAAGTAGTATATTGGGCTGGAGAGGTGGCTTGGTGGTTAGGAATAGTTACTGTTCTTGCCGATGATCCAAGTTCAATTCTCCACACCCATGCCAGATGTGACATTTCTCTGTGCCTCAAATACCTGGAAGTACAATTTTATTCATATTTGTTTGTGCAAACTTCAACCCCCAATGTACTTAATGTCCCATCAAACAAACATTTACTTCAACATGTTATCATGAGTAGAACTATGTAAATAGCATTAAATTTACATGTATGGGTCTCTGCTTATGTCATTAGGATGTCCCAAGAAGTGAAACTCTCAGTCCATAGAATTTCAGGCTCTCACTACTTATTATCTCATCATTTGTTTGCTTTGTTTTCCTGGGATAGAATCTAGCTGTGCGGTCCAGGTTGACTTGTCAAACCTCTTGGCTCAGCCTCCCACTGCTGTGATTAAAGGCAGGTACCATCCGGTGGGGCTCCTAAGCACTGTTGACAAAGGAACTATCCATTTGCACACAACCCTCCCACACACTCAAAACACACAGATTACTGTACCCTCATCGGCAGCAAATATCATTTCACAAATGTTTGGTGCTAGAGAGATGGCTCAGTGGTCTAGAGACTGTCTTGCTCTTGCAGAGAACCCAAAGTTGAGGTCAGTTCCCTGCACCCGTAACAGGTGACTTGCAACTACTTGACAACCCTTCTGGCGCTCCAAACGCACATACACATAAGTAAAAGTATGTATTTTCAAATTTTGGTAATCTGGGGTGTGAGTGGTCACAATTTGGTTTAATTTTTATATCTTTAGCAATTTGGTTTGGCTTCTTTGATTTTAAATGAGTGAATTTCTTTCAGATTTGTATCTGGGTATTTGTCTCTTCATGTTCATGTTCAGGTCATGTGCAGAGCAAAATTTTAAAAGAAAGGCTCTGGTTTTGACAATGAGTTTATTAATATTTCACTCCCCTTACTGTCTTGGGAAGATTTATGACTACAAATATAAAAATAAAAATGTTATTTTTACAAATGAGAAGGGAGAAGAAATTGATAACAATTAAATGGCATCTGTTTACTACTCTACTCCAAGTGATGGGACTTGGCATAATGGAAATAATATCATCACCGTGGAGGGTGTGACCGCGTGGGTTTGTCTCTGTATTCTCCAGTGTCCTTCATACTCAGCACTAAGCACAGACCTTGAGGAATAAGGGCTGAAGCAAGCGTGCTATTTGAAATAAAGAATTGCTGGTTGTAGAAACAATGTTCTGTTCACTGTGTGGCCGTTGCCTCTGTTCTCTTGGGTGGCCTCTGCATGGGTGCTAATGAGGCCAAGGTCAGAGATTTTAGCTGCACATGACCTATTTAGCTATTCTTTTTTTTCTACTTTTCTGTGGTCAGATGACTAGAAAATAATGTAATGTTCATCATATGAGAGACAGGTTGGCGGGAGGTCTAGCTTTCCAGAGCTGTGAAGAACATAAGTACATCAGCTTGGTTGTCCAGTGTTAGGGATCCAAAGCTCTGCTTTTCAGGCTCCATCTGGACACACGCATCTCACACATATACATAAACTCAAACACAACTCACACAGGCAAAACACCCAATACACACACATATAACTCTCTCAACAAACCAAACACATACACGTCAAACACAGGAAAGCAACTCTTAAATACAAACACACTCTTATACAGACTCTGTCTCACACACATACACTCTGATACACAACTCACACACTGGCATGCAGTCTCTCTCTCTCTCTCTTGCTCTCTCTCTCTTTCTCATTTTACCCACACCCACTGCATGCACAGGGACAGTGGGGAGTGGGAAGCATAGCTCCATCCTAAGGCAAG